GATTAAATGGAGCCTGATTCAACATTAAAAACAATCTAAAGGAACCTGTGGGGCAAACAGGAAATAGGAATTTCCATGACAAATAGGAAGACAGTTTGCCAGACTGAGACAAAAAGGCTTTTAACATCCAAACCAAATTTCAAACCTCCTGTGCAGAGACAGAGCTGAAGCAACTGTAAAGAGGACACTGCAGCACAGCCTCTTTGGATTCTGAATGCTGGCAAGTTCTTTAGACCTTGGATCTATAACACTTGAGAAGCAGAAGTAATTCTACATTTCTTAAAGGTCACACCAACTATACTGACATCAAACAATTCAAAACCCATTACTGAAACAGGTAAGCAAACTTTTATCATTATAAATTTGAAAACCCTACAGAATAAGCAGATACAGTTTGTTCTACTCACTCCCTCTCAAGACAAATTAATATCATACCATGTAGCATAAGATGTTCACTTTTCACTATGTTATTTCAGTATACCTTGCCAAAGAAGTACACAAGACTTGGAAGACAGACAAGGTATCCTGTCTCCTAACAGCAATTTTCATAGTAGAATGGATTGCTTAAATCTGATTGGCTCTTTGAAATTCTGTCCATATTTAATTAATTTATTATGACAAAAAAAGGGGGGAAAATTCTACCCCAAAAAGAACTGCTACTGACCTGGCCAAATCAACTGAACTTCCCTTTGCAGATAATGGAGAAAATGGACTAGAGAATTCTACATCAGTAGTTCATATTTTTTTCCCCCTCTTCGGGCAAGCAGTAAAAGCACAGCTCTCCAAACAGCAGGAAACTGAAATCCACAAACCTCAAGCCCTCTTTAGAATTGTCAACATGGACTTTGTATGAAGACAAGCAAGTCTCTTTAATTAAAATCCTGTATCACTGTGAAGACATCTGTGAGCTGAAGTCCAGCACCACACTCAAACCTTGTGCAATCCAGCTCCCCTTTCACAGTTTGCCTCAGGTTTTCTGCAATATAACTACCCAAGACAGGAGAGCCTGAGAAGCTAAGGAAGAATTAGGTATTCCCTTAAAAAAAACAAAAAAAGCAACTTCTTACAAGAGTGAAATCAGCTGTGACTGCTGCTGGATAAAGAGATGGAGAGCTCAGGACAAATTTGTAGTGAGATTGCCAGGTTTAAAGGTGAAATCAGGAAGCATGGGGAGGGCCCCCAAAGCCAAGGTAAGCAGTAGACAAGATCCAAGACCTGATGAGGCCAGGACTGCTAACTCATCCCAAATAACATTTCAGCCTTCCATCCAGCTCACGTTTTGACAATCAAAGTGAGATTTACAAGTAAATTAAAAAATCCAGGGAAAGGTATTTCACAGCCCAGATTACTTCAAAGAAAGAATATTTTCTAAAAAGTATAAAAAATAACATTCACCATTCATCAATAATAAAATATTAGTGTAACACAAGAATTTAATAAGCCAAGCAAAACTAGCCCTTCCTAAAAATTTCCATCAGTCAGAGCATTTGACATACAGGAAGAGCTATGAAAATATAAGCTAGGGAGAGACATGTAGCTAACTGTGTTAGCTACACAGTGTCAAAGCTGTTTATCCAAGTGCTTAAGCATGCAGCCTCATCAGAAGTTTTGAAGGAACTTTAGTGTTGGGAGTAACTGTCCACCTTCAGATTTGTCTCAGTAAATGATCTTACTTCCTCATGTAAATCTGTTACATAAATTCAACAAGTATTGTCTTCATACTTCCCTGCAGAAGTCATATGCTAAAATATATATCCACAGCAAGCTTAATAATTCAGCATAACTATCAATCCCACAACTTTGCCTCCAAAATTCACAGTGAACTCAGGCCTAGGCCTATTCAAACAATTACTTCACCTGCAGACTCTCTCACAGCCTCCACTCATCACTGGCAGCCAGCAGCACTGTCCTCTACAAGCTGACTTCAATGCTCCAGGCAGGTCTTCCACTCCTGTGGCTTTTTTGGGATGTTGGGTTGGGTTTTTTTTCTTCTTACAGTACAGTAGACTTCCAGGCACTAAGCAGAGTATTAATCTTGCATTTTTGGTTCACAAAAAAACCTTCACCTAATGTGAAATCTTTCAGTCAGATCAGAAGATAAGGAGACGATAGATGATAAAGGAGGACATGTAAGAGGCGTTTGGATACACCTGCTCAAACAGATATACCTTAGGCTGAGGAAGACAGAATTCTTTGATCAAAAACACTAAAGCAGCCTCAGGGATAAGTCTCTGCAGGGAAAGAAAAATCCAAGCAAAAGAAGGATCAGCCGCACTTGCAAGGTTTGGGGAGCCAGTGATGAACTGGAACTGGAAGCTTCAGTTAGTCCAAGACAGCCAGTAAAAGAAAATATGTATTTTCAGGAAAGATTTAATCTTATCTTGAGGGCTATAGAAACTGTCAGAAAGCAGAAGGGGGAAAAAAAAAGCAAAAATAGGGCTCTGGAGTAGTAACACTGCCACATGCTGCCACTAACATCATCAGGGCTGTACAAATCTCACAGGACTAATTACTGCTCATATTAATCTTGTGACTTGTATCCTAATTCTGGTGGAATTATCAATTTGTGTGAAGTAAACAGCATTCAGTCCTGCACGGATAGATACAGTTACTTACATAAACCCCGTTCAATATACAGGTTCAAAAAATCTGAGATACTGCAGCGCTTTAAAGCCAGCTCAAATCTAACCAAGTAAAATAAAAACAATGTTGAAAACAAGCAAGTGACTAGAAAACTGTCTTTTTAAAGACTGCTATCGCATTTGCAAATACTTATCCAAACAGAAGTTTTGTTAGTAACTAATTGTTTACATACTTTTTTTCTGATACAAAACAAGAAAGAGACATTCTCCCCATTATTCTTGCTATGGAAACATCCTTTACATACAGAGAGTGCCTGTAAGCCAGTAAAACCTAAAAATATTCTCATCTTTGAGACTGAAAGTCAGATTTAAATGGCATATGTATGGCCTGATTTTAGTATATCTATTTAACACATCATTAATGGGTAAATAAACAAGTAAATTTCTTCTGGCAAGGAAGATAAATGGAAACATAATTAGGCATCAGATGAAAACACAGCTCCACAAAGACTTGACCCTATTATTTCTATTTTGGATAAGGTTCCGGGTTAGTTCTGGGGACCAAGATGGGACTCCCAAGCTCTGCCATCCACGCTTCAAATTCTCTGTGTTATTTCAGAAAAAGAAAACAGAGCTCTACTCGATTGTAGATCAGAAATTGAACATCATCCCCCGCCCCCACCTTTTCTGGTTAATTTCAAGTTACAACTCTGCTCAATTTCATTCTCTGTAATACCTTTTTTGCGGTTTCCATTACATCTCGGCAGACGCTGCTCTTTGCAAATGGGGATCCCACAGCTCAATTACTCCATCAAATTAACCCTTAGCGTCACCCACAGAAGCCGCTAACCCCACCCGAGTATTCCCAACTTTGGAACGCGACACAAAACCTTTGCAGACGAGATCCTCTAGGCCCCCGGCACCGCTTCGGCAGGGCCGCGACCGCAGCTGCACGGCGGGGCCGGCACCGCGGCCAGGGCGGCATCCAGGCTCCAGCGGGCAGCGCCGGGAGACACCGGCCGAGATCCCCGGCACGTCCCGGCTGGAGGCTGCCCCGGCAGCCCGGGATCCCCGCAGGACGGCTGCGTCGGCTGAGCAGGGCTCTCCGGGGCAGCCGGGCCACCTTCCCACCCTCAGCGCCGGCCCTGAGGGGGCAGGAGAGCGGCAGCCGCCCCGGCACCGGCCCTGAGGGGGCAGGAGAGCGGCAGCGTCCCTCAGCGCGCTCCAGCCCGGATCAGCCCTGGCCGGCGGCTCCGGCAAACGCGCCTGCTTCCGCCGCCACGGCTGCGCGCCCGGTGGGCTGTGACCTTAAGAAACTTGGTAAGGGAATAAAAGGGAGGGACTTTGCTGGATCCGATTCTCGGCTTCTAATCGCTCCTGACGCGCCGGTGCCCAAGGGGAAAACAAGGAAACAAAACCCTGGCCAGCAGCAAGAGCCCCCGCGCCCCTCGCAAGCGGCGGTACCTGTCCGGCGGCGGGGCGGCCAGCGCGGCACCTTCCCCCTCTGGGCGCGGGAGGCACCGGGCGGCGGGCTATTTATAGCGCGGAGCCTCCAGCAGCGCGGCGGAGGGCTAGAGGAAATGAGGAGCGGCGCCTGGGCAGCCGGAGCCGAGCCCGCCCTGCTCCCTGCCGGGAGGGAGAGGAGAGGTGCGGCTGGCTCCGGGCACCGGCGCTGCTGCCCCCAGCGCCACCCCCGGCAGCGCCCTCCTCACCGCCAGCCGTGGTGGCAGGTAGCGAGGGAGCCGCCAGCCTCCTCTCCTCTGCGGCCAGCAGACAGCGCGGCTCGGCTCAGCCGCGCAGCGCAGAGGTGACCCGCTACTGCTGCTGCTGGAGGAGGCGAGACCGACGCTGGGGTGTGGGAGGGAGACGCCGGCGCTTGCCATTCACCTCCTGCCGCCCAGAGGGAGCCCGGCCGCCGCTGCCGGGGGCTGGGAGGCGGCGGAGCTCGCCCGGCCCGAGGGGACGGACGGATCGGGCTGGGGGCGCTGCCGAGGAGGCGGCGCCGGCTGGACCCGGGATGGAGAGCTCCGCATGGGCACCACCCGGGGCTCTGTGGCTCAGGGAAGGACAGCAGGACCGGTGGGAAACGCTGGTCCCTTCCCTCCGGAGCTGGAAACGGAATCTGCCTAGAAGGCAAGCGAGCGGTTTCTCGGAGCCGCCGGGCTGGCTGCCTTCCAGCTTCAAAACCTGGCGGGGTGGGCGATAAGGGATGCCTGGTCCCGCCAGGGAGGAAGGTGTGAGCGCTACACCTCGCCTCCGGCCCGTGCTGCCGCTCCGGAAAGTACCAATGGCATCCATCCACCCGGCCTTTGATCCATGGCATCGAAAAATTGGGTTTGTATGTATGGCAACAGAGGAATTAGGACAGAGGAATTTGTAAAGGATTTTTCTCACTGGGTAATAATCTTTTTTTTTTAAGCCAGGTTTTTTTCCTACTTCTTTTGTAGTTAGATAAATTCTGGTATTTGAAGCTTTAATCAATCCTTTTGAGACTACTTGTGCATTATTGCAGGACACCATCTGGGATTTGAGCAGCATAACTCACTCCTACACCATCATTCTCCAAGTAACTGAAGTTAATAGAGATTAGATAGCTACATTAGCTTACTCAATATCATTTGTTTCAGGGTTGGATTTAGTGTTTCCTGTGTTGTAATAACTGCAGTCATCTACAAAGTACCCACACAAAGCCTTACAATGATCTGTGCAGAGCAAGACTGATTCAGCTTCAAGAGCTTGAAGTCAAAACAGAGATGCAGAGACACAAAGATGGGAACTAAAAAAACAGCATTATAAGCTACACAAAATTAAAAGGAAAACCCTGAGAAGGCACAAGAGATATTTAACCTTGTTGTTGTCTTGCTGTTATCTTTCATATTTCTAAATTCCCATACTGTCACAATCATATTTCTAGAGTCCCATACCTTCTCAGCAATATTTCTTGGGGGCAGTTCTTCACAGCACAGACTTGGTCTTCTGGTTGTTGCTGCTTCTCAGCCAGGGCTCCTGACAGGCCAACCCACCCCCTTTATCCCAGTTATCTTCACTAGCCACAGTTGCAGCCCATCAAGAAGAACCAGGTCTTATCAGGGCAAGGCCTGTATACAAATATTCAAATATAGTACAGATATTTTACTAGGACTCCTACTATATGCCCTTATCCAAACACCTAAACAAAGTAATACAGAAAAAAATCTAGCTTGATGGAACTACCCACTTACATAATGCTCCTCAGGCATAAATGTTTGCAGAATAAGGATCATACTGAACAAATCATTGTAATGAAGTTAAACTACCTTTTCAATTCAGAGATTAGTCTTCGAGCATCTCTCATGAACAATATTTGGCTTCTCACAAGAGGAGTTTCATCACAATCTTCCTTGTTAAACTTTTAATGTTCCACAGTGTAACACATAGCAGGAAAGATCCTGCTGTCTTAGAAATTGGAAGCAGTAGACCCAGGCTGCCACAAATGACAATCCAGGTGGTGAACAGGGAACTTGAAAAACTTGGCTATGTGCAATTCCATTGCATAGGTTGTTCCTTTCTCTGTGCTCCCTTAAGAGCCTAATACTACTGGGGTTTAGTCTGTGGTTGCTTTTCAAATGAAAGCAATGCCAAACTCCTATATAAGTTCAGAATGGAGTACTGAGTCTGTAAAATGGATGTTCTGTTAGATTTGGAGGGAAATGCAATGACAGCCCATGCTTTCTTTTTTCAGTGATTAAACCTTTACTTTGTATAGCACTGAACTTTATTAAGAGCAGTTATCAAAAAATATTGTCTTGAAGACAATATTCTTGAAGACAACAAGACTTTTTCTTGGGGCAAGACTTTGTTGTATAACCAATCATACTGCAGACCCCAGGAAGGAAAAAGGCTAATTTTTAGATTAGTCTTATGTTAAGACTCAAGATGTTCCTTGAAAATGGGTGTTCAGAAATCTACCCTAAGTCAGAATGGAAAAAAAATATATTAGATAATCAGAGTTTAATTGAGCTCCAAAATGTTTTATAATGGATATATAGTCTAAAGCTCTCTTCTGTCATGTAGTCAAAATTTTCAGAGCTTGAAAATACACTTATGCATAAAAAATGGTATCTAATGCTCAAAAATACTATCCTCAAAATTATTTTGAATGTGTTTCTATGCTCCCTACCTCTGAAAATCACATTTCCTAAAGTGCCTAGATATGGATTTAGGGCATCTAACTGCATCCACTCAGGCTTGAAAATTTTAGCCTACCTCTACCTGTGCTTCATAATAAATGTATCAGAAAGCTTCAGACAAGCTATAAAAGTATTCTCAAAAAAGCAATGCAGACTTGAGCCATTAGAAAACAAGACACCAACCTAAGAAAGCACTTGACTGTATAATTCAGCTCATTCTGGTATATGGAAAGTAGCATCTGAAGCTCAGCTTCTAACAGACATCTGTAGTAGAAGGAGAAAAATTAATATTAATCACCTCCATAATATGGCAGTTTTATTATTAATATCTTTCCACTGTTCCCAATCTTCAAGGAACGGCAAAAGTCTCAGTAAGTAGAAATGCAAATATTTATTGTTGTAGATCTTTGCACAGAGTACATTTTGATGGATAGGAAGGGTTTTTTTTCGAGAAGCTCTTTTTGTGTTATCTTCAATTGGCATTCAGTATAACGGTTTACCAAGGGAAAGGACTGAGTACACACCAAATGCAGTTGGGGCTGTCATGCTAACCTTGTTGGGAGGCAGGGCTGTGTCAGGCAGGGAAGTTTAATTTGGGCTCAGAATCAGAGGGACTGTATTCCCAAGGAATGAAATATCTTCGAAGGCAGAGTTAGGGTAAAACTCGAAGGCTGCTCACTCTCTGGACAGTTGATATGAATAACTGCATGGGATAACTGCATTGCTTTTCCATATTACCCACAGTACAGCAAATATTGTTGAGTTTATGCCAGTTTTTTAGCTGCAAAAAATTAGGGAATCAAAAATTAAATCCTAATGAAAGCATAAGCCTTTCTTCCATCAGTGCAGGATCACTTCCACCCCTTAAAGTCATCTCTTGCTGGAACCAACAACCCTGCCAAAACCAAAGGATGCTTCTGATACTGAAAATAAACCTAAAGCATTAAATGAAAATCAGCGAAAACCACATCCTAGCAGAAGTGAACTTGACTGGTGGGGCTTCCTGCATAGCAGTGTCACTCTAGATTACTGCACAGAATTGAAATGCTTGCACTGTCACAGAATTGGTGACCATAAACTTCATTTAGCTCTCCGTGCCCCACACCTTACCTACGCTGATGGTGGACATGTGCCAAAAAGCTAACTTGATAACCTAAATATTGCAATTTATACCAAACATACATATTGCAGTGCAGCTACAGAACGACTGCAGAAGAAGCCAGAAGACGACCTGGGTTCTGCAGGGGAACTGCAAACCATGACTCGCTGAACAAATCAAAGCCTTAACTTTGCAGGTTATTCTGTGTGGGCAATAGATTGTACCAGTGTCAACATCAAACAACTTGCAGGATCAACACCCACCAGAGGAAGAGCTGTGTAACTAGTGACACCGAGGTGAAACTGAAACTGAGAAAAATACCTTACTACCAAATACAGAAGAAAGCAATGCAATGAAAACACTTACTCAGTTCTGTGAAATTATCACATGCTTTTCATCAAAATAGCTGGAGGAAAGCCAATACAGAACTGCTGGAGAAAGCACTGCGGAGAGGGCATCACACCGTGTACTAAATAAAAGATTTGGTGTTGGGCAAATAATAAAAAATCCCAAACCAAAATGATGTCTTATGCTGCCTAGATTGAACCTCCTGCAGAAAGGTAGGTGAATTTGCTTCCTTCACATTTTGGCAATATTTACTGTGTTGGTTGTACAAGTAGGGAATGATTGTAACACAGTAGCCCTAATGTTTTTCTGTGCTTTGGATAAAACATGCAACTGTTTATCATCAATCTAAACAATAACTTTACTTCTTGCCCCACTGCCAGGAAAAAGGCAGTCGTAGAAATCCCAAAGCACTATTGCACTATTATTGTTCTTTTCTTCAATAGCATTTTCTCTCAGTTTCAACATTTGTTGCTGTGCAAAGTTTTGTGTAAAACTAAGGGACAAGAAGCAAAGTTCCTAAGGACAGAAAATATGATTTTATCACTAATATGAACTTGGAAACATCATGTTCATATGACACAAAATGCTAAACAGCATGAGCCTTCTCTATTGTTCGACACATTAAATGGAGAGACTTTATTGAAGCAGCCTCCACATGAGGTATCCCATCTTGGAGCTTGTAAAACCACTGGATGGTGTTCCCTGGCCGCTCTGACAATAGTGCAGCTGTGTGCCCAGGCCAAATCTGGATCAGATTTGCCAGGCAAGACAGACATGTGCAGTTCTTTTAATAAATACTGTGGGGCTGCTACTTAAAAAAGCCCTTCCAAAACAAAAATAAAAAACAAACAAACAAACAAACAACCCTGAGATGGAGTTTTAATTTCATTTTCTGCTCCCTATGCACCAGTATAAATGACTAAATAGCATGCAAGTTTTAAAAGAGTCAAGATAAATGGTTAAATTATTGGACCAGTTCCATTAATGCAAACTCTGTAGACTTCAGGCGTCTTTTGCTGACCTATGCTTAGGGCAGAAGCCATAGTTTTTATTAGGTCTACTCGTACTGGACACCATTTTTCAGACCAAATGCCCTGTTACTTGATGTTGGACACTTAACCTGTGCCAGAAAATCACACGGTTTGATTTTATCTCATAAGGCAAAAGCACTTCAATATCTTTTGGCAATACTTGTTTGGCACAGAAGGTGGAAGGGTAAGGCAGCTGATAGTTTACTGTCTAAAATAATAAAGTCATCAGACAGGCTGAGGTGGATGCTATACATGATTCCCTTCTTGCTGACAAGATTTCACCATCACTTTTTTCACATTTTCTATGTAGGCTCAATTTCGAGGAAGGTTTGTACATTGCCGGAACTGACCTGTTTTTAAGTATTTTGTTGCTCTCCACCACAAAAAACAAAACAAAACACAAACAAATTCCCCCTCAAATAATCTAATAAAACAAAAACACCTGTCAAGAACATTCCTTTAAACAAAACTCCAGCCCTCAAATCCCCAAATCCAACCCCATTCCTATAGCTTTGAATGCAATTTCATGGCCCTTTTTATTCCCCTACAACCACCCCCTTAAATGATAGTTCAGACTTCCACTTTCATTCTCAGAAGTTAGAACTGTAACTATTTCCTACCTACAAAAAAAATATTATTGATCTTGTCCCTTTACAATTCTGCCAAAAATTCAAGAGAATCTGGCCTTGTTCTAAACTTATTCCCACATTCCCTTTGCCTCAGCATTCAGAGACAAAGCAGTCCTCTGGGACAGCAGAGCCTACAAAAACAGGTGTCCCTGCCAATGGCCAGCTGTTCCCAGTTCTGTCATTTTTCAAAGGGACAATTTTTCAGAAAGTAGCCAAGTTCACATTTGCATTGCTCTCCACTGGTGTAATTATTTATATCATGTTATATTGAAACAAATTTCTCTCAAACCATGACAGTTTTGGTTTTTTTTTAATTCACATGGTGAAAATGAAAAGATTTGATGCCATAGAATATGAAGCCCTTAGAGCTGTCCAGTGCTTTTGTTGAAGTACTTCACATAGCAATTCACACTCTCCTTTGAAACAGATTTTGGCTTCACTTGTGGCACCTGGTTGAAGACAAGCAACATCTAAAAACCTGAAATTTCACAAATGCCTGCCAGGTTGAAGTAGCAAGATGATAGGATACCTTTTCATTGGTAGCTTGATAAAATCATTATGAGAACTCCATTCTTATTTAATATGTATCTGCCTTTACAGCTGCATAAATATCCTTTTACGTATACCCTGTGAATTCACAGCAAGAGGAGTCCAAGAAGATCCCACACTTGTCCGAGGAAAAGTAAACACTTGAAAAGTAAAGAAAATAATCTAAGCTGAAGCTTTAAACAGATACTCTCTTCCATATAAAAACGGGTTTAGAGCTTGAATAGAATGTTCAGAAATAAGGTGTGACTGAAAATAGAAAAATAACCTTTGGAAGTTACATTCTTTTCTGTTTACAGGCTATTCCCTCTTGCCCTGAAAGGGGACCAGGTATAGGACAGGTGCAGTTGACAACTGAGGGAACACTTGTTCCTCAGCAAGTCTATTACTCTGCAGAGCAGCATTTTTTGCCTTTAACCTGGATCCTGACAAATTTTTCGGGGCATAGTTCATGTAAAGAAATCCTGGAATATTAAATTTCACAGTTCCTAGGTGGATTCCTGACATGGGTGCTAACAAAAACCTTAAAGCTGGGGGCAAACCTGGTGCCCTGTGCTGTGACTCTCCAAACCTCTCATGTCCATGTGGAGCAACTATTGGGGATCTCCCTCAGAGAAATGAATATACAGCTTCTAGCATGTGTGTTTCTCTCACTGTATGTCATCCATATATCAGGAGGATATCACAACACAAGCAGATTACCCACATCAAATATTGACTGCAAAAATCAAGGACTCATGAGGCAGCACTCAAGTCAGCAAGCAGGCAGGTTTGAATGGCAGGTAGAGGGATGCTGCAGGTATTGCAGGATGCTGCACCCCAGGGCAGAGCAAGGGGGTGGTCACTGCTCCCTGTGGCACCAGGAGCAGCAGGAGCAGAGAGCTCTGCCTCCCTGCCACAGAGGTAACATACCCCCACTCAGCTAATTAGCAGCATCTCATCTCTTGAAGGGAAAAACCCCTCTTTGCTCTTGCTGAGCATCTGCCAAGTTTCTGCTGTCACGCTTTTCTTCTAATTTGGAAAAGAAAACTACAGTTCTGATAGCCCTTGTTTGAAAATTGCTAGCCCCTGTTGTAATCAGGCAAAACTTTAAATCACAGCCACCTTGATTTCAGAAAAGTTTAATTTGTAGGATAACTTTCTATCACCATTTGGTAGTGCCTTATTAATGTAACTGTAATGTACAGCCCTGCCTTGGACAATGATTCTTCTTCTGTTTCCTACATGTTGGCAGACCACATGCAGACTCTCATCCCTGATCATTTTATACTGGCCACAGCAGGACTTTAAAGAGGATATATTTTACTACACAGATGAGCAATCATTTTCAAATCCTTTTGCAGTATTTTCCTACCCACTGTGCTTCAATTCACAATTTGATGCCATTCAAAAATAGCAGTCTCTTGTCTGTGTATGATACTGCAGCCTGTCTTAGGGTAAATGCTTAATCTGAAATCATCATCACTTAATGGTGTATCTCTTTCCCTGCACTGCAATTTAAAAGAGTGATACAAAGAATATTTTGGAGAGCTTAGTATATGCCTGGCTGATTATGTCACTCACTTCTCATCTCCTGATCTTTAATATAGTTTGGATTTTGACCCTGTCTGTCCTGTAAAAATTTGTGTGTAACATGAATCAACCACCTAAGGCTAATGATGTTCACTCCTAAAGTGGGGTCTCTATTCTGGTGGCTGAGGTCTGTTTTATGCACTGTGTTTAAAAATATTTTCTGCCTTTCACTGTAAAGCAAATGAAACAAATGGAAATAATGACTATGTGGTGATTGATGGTGAGGACAGTGGGGTTAGTTTCATCTTTGTCACTGATCTTTTACTTAATTTTGAGAGTTTAACTTAACTTACATGAATCAGAACCACTTGTAAAATAACTATAATGCCCTTCACTGACATCACAAGGTAAGTTAAATTTGGGTCCTGGCTATAATTAGCCTTTCAATATTTGTGTGCCTTTCAGGGTATAAAAAAAGATTTTTGTCCTATGTGCCTTAGTTCGAGCAAGGAAAATTAATTAAGTCTGGGAAAGTGTCAGGGGAAACTCTCCTTTGTGTACCATTGCACAATTGATTACCTCAGAGAGTTAGGAGAATGTAGAATCATGTGGCATTGCTGGCCCATAAAGGTTTAGGAAGGAACCATATTCCCTTTGAGCCTGTCTCTCCATGTCTGGGACAGTCTGGCCTTTAATTGTGTGGTTAGGACAAGTTAAAATCCTCAACCAACAGACTCCAGGCAAGAGTAAAGTGTTATTATTCATTTTAAGAGGGACACATTTAAGATCATTTAAGTCGTGTTTAAGGTCATATGAGAAGTCAAGCCCATTTTTATCAGGGAATTAATATCTGTCAGTTTCTCTGGTTAGCAGAAGGTTGGTTTCCAGAACTACTCCCTGCTCCTTCCTCACTTTTATCTAGGTCATCTTGATATATGCAAATATTCCACTGAATTTAATGTAGTTATTCTCATGCAGCTTTAGGACCTCATTCTGCAGCTTGACAGTAAGAATATTTAGCTCTATGCTTTATGTATTTTTTTGCCAACATTCTAATATTTTGCTGCTATCACAAAAAAATCAAGGATTCTGTGTCCTGCAGCAGAATCACACAGAGAAGATAACTATAATGGATAGAGCACATCTGGTTAGAAAGAAACATTTGTTCTTGATCCTTCTCAAAAAAATTTATTTTGGTAGGTACATAACTCCAGAGCATGTTAATTTGCTTGGCTCACTGGCTACAGATAAATGTCCTCAGAATAAACACTGCTTCAGTTATTTCAGGGTAAATTGACCTATGTGACTAGCACTAGTTTTGTTGAGTCTACTTAATAAAAGGCAATTTCCACAGGTGAAGTATAAACCCATTACAATATAATATTTGCATTCATGAGTTTGGGGCTTTTTTCGTATGGGGGAGGATCTCTTTTGCTAGTTAGCTAGCAAGATGTTAACTCCAGGGTAACAAAAACATTTTAGCAAAGGTGGATGGTGCTAATAACTCTTCAACCACTTCCTCCCTTTTATTTTTGAGGACAATGTGGGTCAAGTGGTTTACACATTTATTACTTGTAAGTCAAGCAGGAAAAAAAAGTACAGCTTCTTGCAGAAGTATTAAGTTAGCTGCATTTGATCCACTGTGTCAGAGTCTGTTTATTTTTTCCCCCAGTGACAAATCCAGAGAACTTCTGTTGGATCCAGCTAAAGTGTTCTGAAGCTGCAGCATCTAAGAAGAGGATTTGCCCACCCTGCAAAAGATGCCCTTGTAGCAGCCTATCATCCTATCACAGGCGGAACTGACCTTGCACCTTTCACATTTCTTTCAAAATTACCCTGCAGAACCTCAGGAAACACTGACCAAGGAGCCAAACTCTGGGGTATGGGCTGGAAGGTGAGTGAGACATGAGCTGAGAAGGAACTATGGGGGTGGACAGCAAGGTAGAGGCAAAGTATATAAAATGAAGAAAGAAAAAGAAAACAGAGAAGAAACAATGGCAAAGCAAAAACTATGTAGGAACTATGAAATTCTGGATTTGTTATTACATTTTTGGAGGCAAGTTCTCCTTTAGGTGGAAATAATCCTCCCAGAGGGGAAGTTTTTTCTGAGCATTTATTGGAGATAAGAAATTTTAGCTGTCGATATAACAGAGTCCTTGAGATAGAGCTGTTTCACCTCTGCCATGCTCAGTGGACATGCAGCATGAGCCCCAGCTTGCCTGCAAAGGACAGGGGGAACAAACATCTCTTGTGGTTGGAAGAACAAAATTAACCTTCATGTGAAGCTGGCTAGAGAAGAAACCTATATATATATACATATATATATATATGTGGTACGAATATTATACTGGATAATATTCGTACCACAACACCACTTCTATGCTAGCCATTAATTTTCCTCTCCTTAAGGGCAAGAATGAAGAAGTATTTCAGAATTAAAGAATGAAGAAGTATTTCAGAATTAAAAGGAGAGTAGGATGACAGGGCACCAAGGAAAAGCCTGTTTCCTGGGGAAACTGCTGAGAGTCATCTCTCTTGATTATATCTGTGGAAAGGGATTTCTTTTCATGCTCATTTTCATACTAAAACTAAAGAGTGCTGCAGTACAAAACTACAGATTTCATGAAGGAAGGTAGAAGGCTTCTTGCCATTCACTCTTCTTGTACAGTTCAATGTATATTTGTGCAGCTGATAATAAAATAATCATTAAAAATTTAGGAAAAGTGATATGACTGCAGGGATAATCTAGACAGAATCTGAGCAAGGACTGAGAAGCACATGACCCAGTGATCTTCGAGGTGTTGCAGTGCTTCATTTAGCATTGACATTTATTGCCTCAGCACGTATTGGCAATAGCAGCTCTGCTTTCTGGCCAGATCCATTGTTGTGCATGATACTTTCCTTGTGACACAACTTGTTACAAACAAAGGAGATGGAAGATTAAAGCAACAGCCATTGTCATATCAAGGAATTGCTCCCTCAGACTCCAGGCTGGTAGTTACTGTGCTGTTATACTTTCTATAAAATGTAACAGGATGCTTTAGATCTCAGAGTACAATTTCTGTAAATATGGTTGTTGGAAAAAAAGAACACAAAAAGCTATCATAAACTGTCAAAATGGGGGAGAGTTGATTTAGATACAGAGTTTATTCATTTCAGCACAGATGTAATCTAGTCTCCTCAGCACTGAGGCATTTATTCCCCTTACTTTAGGATTTCTAGAAGACACAGTGTGTAGAAGAGTAGTAAACCAGCCTGCTGTTTGGAAATGCTGCTTGGATAAATCTATATTGCCACTACAGTGCTTTTAAAAAAGGTGACAGTGCCATAATGAAAAGGTGAAAATGTCAGGGAATATGTCAAAATGCTTCTTTAAAATTAAACACGTAGTTGCTCATTGGCTACACAGAATTGAGCACATTTCTCAGCTGACATTTTGTTTAAGCCCTTTTCCTGTCTGTGAGATCAGGCAGTATGCATAGGAAAAATATTTCTTGCATTCTGTGGTGCACTTTATACAGATAACCCAATCTCTATGTGTCCATTTCAATAAAAGAAAAACATTTGTGAATTTCCTTTATTCACCGATCATGAAAAACTGCTAAGGACAAAAGAAAAACAAACCATTCCCAGACAAAACAGTAGCTTGAAATCTCTGACGTGCCCTGTTAAAGCAAGATGAGCTTGTAAGGAAAGACAGTTTTAATTTTATTTTTTAAAATTGGGATGGTGTACAGAAGGGAAAAAAAAACCACCCAATTTTCTTCTGCACCTAGTGACTGGGCTGAAATGCATATTTTAATTCTATTCTTAGATGTTCAAAAGTATTGCCAGGGGCTCAAAATACCCAGAGCTGAGCAGAAATGCTACCACTGATACGGACACAATTTTGGCCCATATAAAATGATGGCATAACAGATATAGGAAATATCTGTGATTCCTTTCAAAAACTTGAAATAGCAAGAAATCTGCCTTGGTTTCCCTGCATCACTCTGCAATAAAATTTATCACAATGTTCAGCCTGAGTTATTTTTGTACATACTCTATAGTTTCATAGAGAATTGTAATGTATAATACACATTAAAAAATCACATAGAAATAAGGTGACTTTTAGTGGGAATAAATTTTTTGTTACAGAAAATTCTAGGAAGATTTATTTTATTTCTTTAGAAATAGAGAGCTGGATAAACCCCACAGCCAACCATCTTGAAGAACACGCCTGTTAAAGGTGCTAAGCTTATTATTTTCAGTTTAACAGTGTAAAGTTTAGCGCTTTTTTAAAATCTGAGATGCCATTGATGCCACATATGAATATAAACCTCACTCATAACTGGGAGAGGTAGCTAATGTGCAGATATTTCTGCCTCTTTAGCATAAAAAACTAGGGAAACAATTTTTCTCCATAATTTCTGTACTCTCCTGTTTCCATAAAAATAAACAAGGTGAGTTTGCTAGGAAATGTTCTCTTTGCAAGACTTGCCATACCAAAGGTTTGTATTTTGGCCCCTGTTGGATGGCTCTGCAGCCCAGCGCTGGATGGGTGGGTGCAAATGGGTACAGGGTTTTAGTAATGTGTTAATACAAAACCCAATTAAGATCAATACACCTTCCACAAAGTTAACCTAAAAAGTGTGGAGACATTTTGAGTTTAATTGCACTGAGGAATAAATGGCAAATGCCTGCTTATCTGTCTAAGTGGGACTTTCATGAATAATCTAGCATGGTAATGAAAGCATCTGTGCCTCATACATATTAGAATTACTTCTCCCTTAACCTTTGCAGGACAAAAGCTTTGCAGATTGTTGCACACCAAGACACAATGAAAGGCAGCTAAGCAAGGCTTGATTTTTATGTTGACAGTCTACTGTAATTAGAGGTGAGTTCTGCTTATTTTCTTTCCCACAAAAAATGGTACTGCACACCTATATCATGGTAAAAAATATATTTTATATTTCTCAGCTAATGGTTACCTTTTAACAAAACATATCTAAAAGTTAAAACCAGCCACAAATCTGTAAAAAGCAACCCTACCAGTTACATCTATGACACTGGCCTGGTGGAGTCATTAAAAAGAGGCCTGGCTTTAAATTTAAAATTCAGCTGATACATGTAGTATCCCATTAATTTTAAGGTTTCCATCAGGAAGGGTGAGGTCAAGTACAGAGCTGGAGGAAAATAATCAATGCTTTTTATAGGAAAAAATATATTGACAGAAATAAGCCTGCCAAATTACAAAGGGAAAGCAGTGTGGAGATGGGAACAGACTATAGGTTAGTCAGTTTATTAGAGTTTCTAGAATGTGTAGCTTACCCAAGAGACATTTTGGTTACAGGCTAATGAGCTGGAAAAGATATTTGAAGAAAAAGGATATCATAGTTGATGTAGTTCACAAAGCATTAGTTAAGCCTCGTGAGTCTGATGGACAACAAATTATTGTTGAAACAGCTCAAATCTAAAGAACATTTTTCTGTGTCATTTGTTGCAACTTGTTCTTCTTTGTCACCGAAACTCAAGAAAGTAGCTCTGCAGCATGCATTTATGGACCACATCAGTGACCAGTTTACTTTCCTACCATCTCCCTCATCCCTCTTTCCTGCCAGAAATCAAATAGGCAGGGACTGCCTCTCTCAAACAAGGGCAGATTTAAGCTGGAACAGCTTGCTGTTGACTAATTTAAGACCATTTCAGATTGCTCTGGCAGCACAGAAGTGCCTGAAAGGAATGTAAAAGGGTAACTTTTGTTCCCTGTTTTACTGCCAGTGATGTATGTTCAGAGTAACCAACAATCCAGACTGAAATGTTCACAGTTAAAATTTTATTGCATGCACAGTATTGCTGCAAATATATAACTTGGTATATTTGGTCCTGTTGCCAAGAACAGGAAAATTTAGTAATTACAGCCTAGTCTCTATAGCATTCCTTGAACTATAAGACAGAGAACCTGCAAACATAGCATGGCCTGCAGCCTGAAATTGCTTTGCCCTGTTATGGACCCTCACAGAATCTTAGAATGGTTTGGGTTGGAAGGGACCTTAATGGTCATTTAGCTCCTGCTGTGTCCTCTCATTGTCTGCCTGTGTAAAAGTCATCCTCACACTTTTTATAAGCCCCTTTAAGTACTGAAAGAATGTTACAGAAGAACATAAGGAAACCACACTGGAGTATAAAGAAGATAACCCAGTATTCTGTTTCCACCAATGGTCAAATGTAGATGCCTGAGAAACACGGTTCTCCTCTGAGACTCTCTTACCATTCAACCTTTGCCAGCTCAGGGAATTCCTGACACAGAGCTGGTTTCTGGGCACTGAGTATTCCTTCACATATTTTCCTTATATAAATTCATGCAACCTTCATGCAAAGACCTGTAAACAGCATATACAAGGGAGATCCCCAGGTCTCTTACCATACCCTTAATTTTGAATTCAGACTCTGTTATCTCTGATTCATGTACTTTTGTTCTTGTAGTGGATGAAGCTGTGAACAATCCATCATTATGCATTCTGTCATGTCACTTGCTGGTCTGCATCCCTCAGGCTTTTCTTTTGTCAGTCTGAAGGATTCCTGTCTGTTTAATCCTGCCTTCAAGTGAAGTTGTCCAATAATTTTGACAAGCTTGTTGCCATTTTCTGAACCTTTCTAGTTCTTCTAGATCCTTTAAAATGCAAAGACCAGAATAGCATGCAGTATTCAGAGGTGGGAAGTTGCTCTCTCTTGTGTTCTCTGTTCTTTTCCTCACCATTTCTAATGTTTTGTCCAGCTGCCAGTGGATTCATTTAAAAGTAAAAGCTTTCTGGAATTGATTTTCTTTTATTTGATTTTCTTTCACTGAATTGATTTTCTTTTACTGGCACATGGACATAGTTATGAAGAATTTGAAAGATTGTGTTATATGAATCTCTCTAACCATCTATTCACAAAAGCATACAAAAACAAAAAGATCTAACAGCTCAAATCAAAAAAGATGGCAGATCATAGTTAGAGGATTTTTTCAAAAGATAGAACTTTACACCTTTGTTGAAGGAACTTTGTAAAATAGATTTATATGTGTCAGTAGTTTTAGTAGTAGTACTAGTAACAGTATGTTATATACTTCAGTATATGCGACACATGATAGACAAAACTGTCAAAGAAGTTTTTATCATACAAGAGAAAGATGTAGAATATAGAATCACAGAAAGTTCTCAAGATTTTACAGAGATAGTAGATGTAAGTATAGCTATAGATAAAAGCTTTAAATTAAGACCTTAGAACAGATGAGACTAATTAGAATAGTAAACAGTAACTACTATCACATTTAACTTATATCCTTTGAACAGACTAAATATTTTATAACATTAAAAATTGCTGTAAAATGACAACACTTAAAATAAACAAGACAGTTCCTCAAACAAGCAAAAAATACCCCATAATATAGTACATCTATATTATGTAACGCTAAGTAGTTAATAAATGACAAAGTTAAGAAAGTTTCTTTCAGTTGTACTGAGAGGGGGAAATGTAGGAAATAGTAAAGGTAAGATGATTTCCAGAAAGCTGTAAAAGCAGGCTTTAGGAACAGAAAGAAACTCAGAACTAGCTGCAGCTGCAAAGTCTGAAAGTAGAAAAAGTTACAATGGTACAGCAAGCAAGGACAGGAAACAATAGCTTGAGTTTCAGGCTAAGATAGACCTTCAGACTACAGAAAGATATGCTTAGCAAGATAGTAGAAGGCCTTAAGCTTAATGCTGAAGTATTGTGTATCGTTAATAGAAGGCATGCAAGGCAGCGTTTTGTGAGCAGGTGTACATGTACTTTTAGTGACTGGTTAGAACAATTCTCTGTAAGTTTAGCAATATGCTTTTGGCTGGAAAGTTTTTAAATGCTCTGTAACAAAGAAACCTTCGGCTGCTGCTGCTGGCTGTGAATGAGCCATTGCCATCTTTCCATTGCCTCAACCATGTAATTAGGTGATGCAGCCAAAAAGCTCAGGGAACGTATCCCAGCAGTTCATGAACAAACCCCAACACAGCCTGACATTCTGTTCTGCTGTCTACAGCTCTCTGATTCAAGGGTGCCTGTGCTTGTATTGCAACCTGTGCCTGCACAGACCCAGTGTTTGTAAATTCCCACACTGAACGAGCTGGAAATGACTACATGCTTTGCTAAGTATATTTCTTTCCTTTTTCATTTCTCACTGACAGATACCTACATAATTAAGAAAACAGCTTTCTCTCAGAAATAGGTAAATGGTACTCCTTTGAATACTATGACAAAATCTAAGCACTTGCAGAGAATCTGCTCAAGCCCTTCTACTCATGAATGAGTAAAAATGTGCAGACATGGAAAGCTATTTCTTTATGCACCCCCTCAAAGCAAGCTATTCCCACAATTTTCTTGCTATCCCCTGATTAATCAATAGTAGGCTTTGTGAAAGTTCAGGAATGCATTCAGAAAAAGGAAGTAAGATCAAAGGTCCTTTATCTATCCTGTCATGCTCTTTGGAGGCTAGAAAACCCTTTCTTAGAGGATTTCAAGGACAGTTGTGGAACCAGGCCCCTGAACAAGAATGTTCCAGTGTGATGGGAAGCCTTCACTACCGTGTTATAATTTGAAAAACAACAGCCAAAATAAAACAGCACAAAGAAACAGTCTCAAGATTTCCTTTCTGTAAGAGTCTTCCTTTTTCACTCTGCCATGGAAAGCAGAGATTTGCCCTAGGACAGCAGAGGAGGGAAGGACTTCAAGAAGCTCTTGTCAGTGTCTCAGCTCAGTTCCCACTGAAAGAACTGAGTCTGCTGTATCTGCTGATGAGCACTTTTGAAAACACATCTTTGTCTCTGACAGACAGTGGTGGAGCTGAGCATCAAATTTCTGAAATTTACTTTGCCTAGAAGGAAGTTAGTAAGCCCTGTCTCTCAAATTTCATTGAGGGACAGCACTCTTCTTTTCTCGTTACCATGCCCTGATTATAATTCAGTGTAAAGATTAGTGATAGCAGCATGGCTGGACATTTTTAGGCCACAAATATGCTCTTACATAATCAGATTATTTAATCTTTCCATAAATATGCATTTCTTTATTATAAGAAGATATGGGGTTTGTTTGCTACAAGTAGTTGTTATAATTTATTAATAGAAGTTTGGCTTTTTTATTCAGAGTCAAGGGTTTTATGACTCCTGAGCCAGTGATGCCCAGTAATTATATCTGTAGCATTTGGTTCCTGTTGATACAGTGCTGCTGTATTAGAAGGATGACTTTTATATATTAGTGAGCCAAAGAAGATCTTTCTTTTATGAATACTGAGCTTCCGAGAGGCTTTTTGAATTAATAACAATGGAATTAATGCTTTGAAGGCATTTTTATTAAAATGGTGATCTTGGTGGACACTATGTAGCAAGGCTTGTTGATAAGCAGGATGTATGTTGGAGAGGAAAACTGTAGGTTTTTTGCATTTGTTTTGATTACAAGTCCAGGAAAAATGCCAAAAAGCTCCCAGTTTTCCAGAAACCAACATATTGAAAAATACTTGGAGGTGATATGTCTCCAATTTCTTTCAAAGGATGTAAAAGAGGCACTTCTGAAGAATTATAAATTGTCCAGGTTCCCTTAACTGTTTGAGTCTTCCAACACAGGAGATGGTCAGAGACCTTCTAACAGGAATCTGAACCACAGGGGATCAGATGCCTTGAGATATTGTTATGGACACATCAGACACTTCCAATGCATAGAAAGTTTTAACAATGGAGCACACTATACAATATATACTGTGCTCATTTTTCGTTTAAAGCTTTGCTACCATATATAGTCCAAGTGTTTAATAATGGTTTTAATCAAGTGCAAAAATGCTTCTCTAGGTCACTACTCTTGATAATGGTGAATTCACATATTTCTCCTTCT